CAGGGTATAGTTGTATTTCCTTCTCTCCCTCTGTTCCTCCTTCTCCCTCATAGCTTTTGTGCGAAGCATGGCGTTCCTCTCCACCAACTCACTTCTAGGAAACAGAAAACACCCCGAATAATTTATAGCTCTATTACTTCTAGTTGCACGTGAAGCAGCTAATAGAAGTGGCACGTACCTCTGCTGCTGCTCCTTCTTTAGCTCCTCTGCGGTCAGGTTGTAGAAATCGGACGGCAGCTCGAAGCGCTGTGCGTTGGGAGACGGTCGGAAAGCCTGAGGCTGCCGGTCCAGTTTGGCTCTGACTGGCTCTCCTCTCTGAAGACGATCTCTCCGCTCCTTCATCAGCTCCAGGGCGTCACCACTTTGCTCCGGTAAGACCAGAAACTCCTCTTCCTCCTCTGATCTCCATTAAAAGTAAAAATGATAACAAATGTAAACACTGAATAATCCTTCCTGGATTCTTAGCTGGATTTAGGCCTGAAGCAACTGGGTTGTTTGAACTCATCGATAATTTTATTTCAACTCTGGTTGAATGTTTAGAGTCGCTGTCCTTCATCACACTTTTGGGTGCTTCGCAGCCCCGTGTTTCACTCCATTCATCTATGCTTTAACTTGAAGGGGCTTCTCTGTCCCTGCTAAGGAAAGCTAAGCCCACAGCACTATACTGCCACCACTTTTTAGCTACGAAATGCAGGTTTCTGGATATTTTGCCTTAAAACAATTAGCTTTCTTCTTATAGCATGATTCCTTAAGAGTTAACTTCTTGGCTGTTTCTCTCACTGATTCTTTCCTCACTAATGTCACATTGAGCTGTTTTTGCTCCATCGGGGGTCACAGAGCAACTTTTACATTCACGCCAGCGAGCAAAACTCGTTTTGTGCCGCAAACATTAAGTGATCCTTTATAAAGAGAGGAAAATTATAACTTATGTTTAAATAAATATCTACCAAAGATTTGTCAGTTGTTTAAAAAATAAAATGTGGTGCTATTTCATAAATTACGTTTTAAAATGAAGGAAAAATAGCAAAGAAATAATAATAATAAATAAATAAATACATTTTAATGGGTTCCTGATTTTTTTTTATTTAAAAAAAACAGGGAAAAACAAAAATTTTCCCCACTGAAAAAACAAATAATACATTTCTGTTATATTTAGATTCCATTTATTTAGGAAATTCAACGTAATTAGTCAACAGAGAAAATTCTAATCAGCATTTGTTAGAATACCTATTTTTCCAAAGATTAGCTTTTCATCATTGTTTAGTCAAAATGATGAAGAGCCCCAGGCTCAAGACATCTGTGATAGATGGGGCAGAAGTTTGGAATATCATCTGATGAGTAAATAATAAGTTTGCTGTGGTCCTCAGTCTTTCTGATAATACTGACTCTCTAATATTCTCCAACAAACCTATAATGATTTCACAGAACAGCAGGATGTATGCTGAGTAGCTTAGACACAGCTGGACTCTGGGTTGTTTTATTAAAGGCACTGTTTTTCCTTCATTTTATGCAGGAGTATCAGAATAAAAGGGGTTAAATCCAGATGTTTTTATTTGAAAATTAAAAAATAAATTTCCTTCTAATTCACAATTATTCCCTTCTTTAAGTTAACATGTTTAGCTTTATCCTGAACAACCTGAGCAAAGTTCGGAGGGTGTGAATATTTTTTGAAGGGACAGATCTGAAAACAGCAGGATTCATTTACCTTGGCCGTCTACAGGAAGCATAACACTTATGAAGCCCAAAGCCTGCAAAAACTCCCGACTTCCCTCCACAGGACGCACTTTCTCCTGAAACACATCGAGCAATGTTTTTAAAAATCAATGGAAAACAGATTTCTGCATCAACCATCTTCCAAATGCTTTTTAATCAAGTCTGTCCTAAATCAGAAACACCTAATTTGCTCTAAACTCACCTGGAAGACCTTATTGCTGACTTTGATCTTCCTGTACTTCTCCTCTGATGGATTCTTACATATATTATCAACATATCTGTAAATAAAAAAACAAGAAATACGGAATGGACAGTTTTTTATGATAAATGCTAAAATATATCAGTCAATATGGAATATGTCTTACTTGCTGATGATGTCCACAGCTGCCTTCACTTTCTCTCTATCTTTGTTAAATGTGTGGATCATCATAACAGAAGCCTCGATATCATCCTCCTCAAAGCGCTGACGGTAAAAACACAGAACATGAAACCACATAAAACCCCCACCCCCCCCGAATCACATTTAGAGCCTGTTGTGTCTGCCTAAGAGCCTCAGACATGTTATAGTTTGCCGTCCTCAGACATACCATCAGAATGGCCTCTTTAATGTGGACTTCCCTCTGACTCTTGGTTAACGTGGCTCCAGTGAGAGGGCAGGTGAAGTAGACGCCGGACACAGAGAGGCAAGCCGGATCTTTCACTTTGGATCCCTGGAATAAATTCAGTTATTGCCGTTAGCTACAGCTATCCACTTCTTTGCTCATCAGGTGAAATGGTGGCGTACATCATGCTCCAGATGGAACATACCTCGGCTGGGAGAGTGGTTTCCTTCTCTACCAGAGCCGCTGCCTCAGCCTCAAGTTCTCTTTTCACTGCAAAGGAGAAACGGATTAGTAAAGCAAAGAAAACTAATCTTCTTTCATCAAATTCTTGTTAGATTCAAATAAAATTTGAGTGTTTAGACTTTGCTTCAACACAGAGCAGCAAAGTAAAGTCCAGTGAACTCTTATGGTTTAAAGGTACTATTACTGATAACAGATAATGGGTGTTGAGTTGTTTTTATAGACTACTTCTAATAGCACGTTGTTGCAGAAGCTGTATAACTCCTTCTACTTGCATTGCCTTTTCCATTTTGCAAGGATTAAAAATGTATTTATAGGACATGTTTGGTGGTTCAGAGGTCCTCCACATTTTTCAGGACATCCTCTTCAGATTTGTCAGTTGCTTTTTGAGCCAGAGTTTCAAGTGTAATTTAAAAAACTTTAAATATGGATTCTTTAAAAAATAAAATCACAGATTGAAGGACTGATGGCCCGACGGAAATATTAATGAATGGAGGAAAAAAACAAAAACAAACAAAGACAGCCAGATGGAAAGTATAGAGGGAAGAGTGAAAAATTTAATAATTATCTGATAGTTGGATGGAAAAATGGATGTGCAGATGAAAGAATAGAGGGATGGAAGGAAAAAAGAATATGTGAATAAATAACCAGCTGGAGGAATTGAAAAATCTAGGAGAAAAGATGGGACACATGGTTGAATCACTGGGTGGAAACGCAGCTCCTTATTGGATCCCTCTTGGTAACTTTTTACATGAAAACCAAAACAGTTTTTATGCCCACTAATTAAAGCCTGATGATAAAGCAAAAGGTATCTTATATATTAACAATTTCTAGAAAAATACAAAGTGCATGTTACTATAATTATTAATGTTGCATTAATCAGAGAAAAAAAACAGGGAAATGAGTATAGATCAGTCAGATTAGAGAGGAAACCATCCAGCAGCAGGCCTGTGTGATCCTCACCCTGGTTCCTGATGGCATCCTGGGAGGTGTGCACTTTAGGCCGAGGCTTCTGCTCGATCCGGGCCAGGGCCGCGGCCCCTGCCATCTGTGCCCCTTCGCTGGGAGCATGCCTGCTCTGCTTGGAGCTGCTCGGTGCCGCGACTGGCTTACTGCGGAAGCGATCATCAACACGTCATGAGTTCAGATCAGAGCTTCAAAGCCTTCTGAGTGAGTTAGAAGGCATAACTAAGCAGCGCTGCAGCGAGTCAACTGGAGCATCGCTGACAGATCTGTTTAATGCACTTATTCAGGCGGCTTCTTTAGCTTTAGCGCTTTAAGCTTGTTGGCGGATTAACTGTCAAAGTTAGCACGGCGTCTCCTACCGCCTGTTGTTTACATAACAAACTACTAACTAATAAAAACATACCAAGCCAAAACTGAAATATAAAAATGTTTGATGAGTTGTCTAACAGTTTATCTATGATTAACTGAGTAGAAAGAAGAAAATCGTTTGAATTGCCTTGTTTCTTCGGTTAACTTCTTCCCGGGTCCTGCAGATTTAAATTTTATGTCCTTTTTAATATCTTCAAATAGCTTCTTCATCTTCTGGATCCGTCAGTAAAAGAAAACCATCAGAAAAGATTGTTATCAGCAAGTCAAGAGCAGCAAGCTACACTAAGCTAGGAGGTGGAGCAGAACCAAAACAAAATCCATAAAAAAAACCTGCTTCCGTCTCACCAAATAAATATGTCGCCCCCTGGTGGCTCGGAAAGGAACTCACTTCTAAAGGCTGTATCCGCCTAAAACGGGACTACAATAGGATACAGCTTCCAAACATTCTCTACTTGTTAATCTCCCACATTTATTATTAAAATCACTTAATGATACTGATGTTCTTGTTACTTAAGTACAACAATATAATCTGCCTATTTTTGCAATTGTCTTCAACAGAAACACACAATGTCCCACATCCCATGTGTGAGTGTGAGGTACTTGTTTGTATGACAGACAGTGATCGCATCTTAAGTGATCCTTCCTGACAATTTTACCAAAAACCCTTTTCTGTTATAAAACATATTGTTTAGAAATATACTTTTCAGAAAAAAAACTAAAGTTTTCCATTTATATTGATCAAATTTATGAAACAATGTTTACTCTCAGTTGATTAGTAATATCATGGCATTTTGCAGTTATTAAATAAAATGCTTTATCATAGTTTGAATTCTATTATCTATTTCTTTCTATTATTAAAATGTCTTTGAACTAAAATACATTGAAAAGCTGCAAAAACAGAGAAAACCTAAAACACTTGTTTTCACTTTACCTTAATAAAGTATTAATTTATTAAATCTCACAAGTTTTTAAAAAAAATCAAATTCAAACGCAAGCAGTTTCGTTAATAATAACATGTTCTGTAAACGCATCATTTCATCATCTCCTCCTCACTGCTCTCACGTTTACGAGGAGCACCTGAAGGCAGCATACCGTGCGCTGATGCCACGTTAAATGTGACGTAGCAGGAGGCGGAGGCCGATGGGCGGAGTCATCGCAGAGTGTAGTTAGACGGGAACCACACAGCAGTACATATTAATGCTTTTAACAGCAACGGGAGACTTGGAGAGAGGTGAGGGGTTGGTTACTAGTATATTTTTTGAATGATAATGTTTATATAAAGCTATTATTATTACTATGTGGTGATTTTCTGATATAAATATGTGCTCGGCACCAGTTTCCTGACAGCATGTCTGAGCTGCTAATGTCAGGTTGATAAATGATGATTAAAAGCTCCCTTATGGGTAAAATAGAGCTTTATGGAGGTAATTCTGTCTGTGTTTAGTTTCTATGCTCGCCCTGGAATGAAGCAATTCTCCAGTTGATAATCAAACATGAGTCTCATTCTAGGAAACATCAATGTTTAAGTTTTCAGGGCTGAATCTGCCACTTATTGTTAGTATATGATGATGATTCAGAGAACAAATCATTTCTCTAAATCAGTTTAATCTGAGACATTTCAGAAGAAATCTCCTGGAGGATTTCCTGCTTTATAAAGCTGCTTGTTAAGGGTGTGTGAGCAAACACCAACCATTTAAGTCATGGTTTCATTTCAATGCTGGATGTTGAGCTGTAACCAGTTCTGTCAGCAGCCAGACTTTGTTTCATCCCAGTTCCTACCCACTTAAATCTACTTCTATCATCCTTTCATTTAGTCAGATTTAGCCCTCATCTTAAAACATAATCTAATTCAAATGTTTTCTGTTTGGTAGTCATGACAGCATAATTAAATGTTCAATGTTTTCTTGTTTTTTTTTGCAGATTTAACCCAAATCCTTATCAATCATGGACCCAAACACCAGCGGACTGGAGCAGAAGTTGGCTGAAGCGGGCCAGTCTCACCTCCTGCAGTTCTGGAAGGAGCTGAGCCCTAAAGAGCAGCAGAACCTCTTCCAGGAGCTTCAGGGTTTAGATTTCCAGGAGATCAACGGGTTCTTCAAGAACGCCATGGAGACGTCCAGCAACAGCAAACACGAGAAGATGGACGGCCGCATGGAGCCGGTTCCCAGGGATGTACTCGGGAGTGTGACGAGAGACAGGGAGAGCCTGAAAGACTGGGAGGTCAAAGGTCAGTCGGTCAGGCCGTTCACATTTTTTTTCTTGCCTTTAAAGAGAAGAGTCTTTATTATCCAGCAGAACAATAAGGAAGCAGGAAAATGTTTTTATTATTGTTGTGCCGTCTTTTATCCAGTAGAAAAAAACCTCAATCATATTCTAATTTTTCCTGGAAAACAAGCAGAGAAGAGGCTTTAACCCGGATTATTTTGGGTTTTTACCTCATAATAAAGGGAACCAATTTACTGGTATCGCTCCGGGAAGCTTAACGAGATTAAAGCATCACATGGCGGCCCAGATCATGTGATACAGACAGAGGCTGGTGCATTTTCTCATGTCTTCCTTTGGGAAAGTTCAGAGAACCTACTTCCAGATCCTCAGAAGGAAGACATTTCAGTGCATCTACTTCCACAGCCGCAGCCCTAACAGCAGCAAAACCATCCACTGACTCACTGCATGATTCAACACTTTGCCCCAGTTTAGTTTATTGGGAATTTTTGATAATGAGCAAGGAGGTTGTCATTGTTTTGGGTCATTTGCCCAATCCCCTCGTTGCTGAGGAGATTCCAATGAATCACTTGGAAGTGTATCTATGGCCAGAAGACATCTGGTTCTGATTCGGTGCTGACGTCATTGGCTTCGTCTCTCTTGACCCTCATTGATGAAGTCATCTCACCACGCCGTGGCCACTGTTGTGTGCGCCGGCCGGGTGTGGCGTGAGAGTGTTTGTTTGTGCAGGACGCCAGTCAAAGTCTAGCGGACCCTCCCCAGCGCATTCAGAACGTGTCTGTTTGCAGCCGCAGTTAGAAACACGGCTGCTTATATTGTGTCACGTTGCCGGCAGTAAACCTGAGATAAACTTGACACCCAGAATCAATAAAATATCAACTTTT